CCCACGTGGAGCACCACCGAAGGCGGTTCACAGAATTGCGACACCCATAATTAACTGCACATGCGGCGCGAAGGCACGTTGGCACGGCAGCCCGGCTCTCCGGGGGGGAGGTCTGGGCCTCCGCGGGGCGCTTCGGGGCCCCCGGGGGTGGCCAACGAAGACGGCTCGTGAGGAAGAGCCGGCTCCAGAGGAGCGGGTCGAGAGCTTCGACGGGGGGGTGGTCGAGCCCCCCGCCCTCGGGTCCGAGGGGTGGGAAGGGGGGGGAGGGGGGGGGGGCTCGAACCCCCCCCGCCCTTCCGAGCGCTCCGGGCGCTCTTCCAGAGTCTCAGGGGCCGCGTGCAGAGAAGAGTCGGGCCGGCGTCGCCCGAGCAGCCGCGGGCCCCGCGCCGCGGAGAGCGCGTGCGTCCGCGAGGAGCGGGGCAGGCCTGCCGAGGGAGGGGCGGAGCCTGAGGTGAGGGCGTCCACTGTCGGGAGACGAAGGGAGGAAAGAGGGCTGAGGAGGAGGAGGAGGAGGAGGGGGAGGAGGGAGAGAAGGAGGAGGAGGAGGAGGAGGAGGAGGAGGAGGAGGCGGAGGCGGAGGCGGAGGCGGAGGCGGAGGAGGAGGAGGAGGAGGAGGAGGAGGAGGAGGAGGAGGACCAGTGCAAACCCAAGGGTCGCCAACGACGTTGGAGTAAACCCTCCCTCCAAGCTCCCTCTTCATAGGCCCCTGCAGCGGTTCGTTCCCATTGATGGAGCTGCCTCGTTGGAAGACACCCGTTCGAAGACCCTGAAGCATGCCAAAACATCCTTCTCGGGATTCCGACGCCACGGATCAACCTGACTGTTGCGTCTGGACGATCTTGAATCGCACCAGAACGCCATTCTTAAAACCCAACTGTTGCACCTGCATGGTCCTGAATCTTTACAAAACACCATTACTGGAACGTTGATGATAGGAATCCCTGAAACTCTTGAAAAAACACAGATGTGCGCCGCGCTAAGGCGAGAGCCACATTTTGAAAATGCACCGCCCTCAATATGTGAAACTCTTGCAGTTGTTTAAAACGAGTGTGCGCGGCGCGAAGGCGAGAGCGACAATTTTTCAAACGACCCGCCCTCAATCCGCAAAACTCTTGCAAAGCTCTAACACGAATGTGCGCCGCGCGAAGGCGAGATCCACATGTTGAACACCACCCGCCCTCCATCGGTGCAGCTCCTGTGCAAAAGTTTGAGAACGAATGTGCGCCGCGCTGAGGCGAGAGCCACATGCTGAAGACGACCCGCCCTCAATCCGCAGAACCTTTTTGCCAATTTCTGAAAACGAATGTGCGCCGCGCTGAGGCGAGAGACATATGTCGAGAACCGCCCGCCCTCCATCTGTGGAGCCGCTGCCACCTCTTAAGTCTCAAGATCATAAGCTGTGAGGAAGTCTCAGGCGAAACGCCCGGCCCGCCCTTAAACATTGGTTTCGGGGTGCGACAGGGAGAAGTTATTGATAAGGACAAGGGATGGAGGAGGGGGAGGAGGAGGAGGAGGAGGAGGAGGAGGAGGAGGGGGGGGAGGAGGGGGGGGGTGACGAGTTGGCGAGCGCGTTCCCGCCTGGCGGCGCAGCCGGTATTTCAGCGGTTCTGCGGCCAGTGCCGCTCGGGGGCGGACAGAACCCCCAACAGTGACACGTCGATTAGTGAATTGTCCGTTTTCGTTTCTCGAGAGGGCCGTAGCCGTTATTTTCCAGGCTTGCGCCCGCCATGTTTGGGCCTCAGGTCGTTTTCACTAAACCACGTTGTACTAAAGGGGGTCTGTCCATCCCCGAGCCGCCTGACCAAGATTTGTGAGTGGAAGCATCCGGCGTATGCAAAGAGGGTCAAAGGAGGCGCTGGGTGGCGTGCCAGGTCGTGCTGGGGCTGTGCTGGGGCGGTGCTGGGGCGGCGTTGGGGGGCCGAGGGGTTGCAGGGAGGTGCTAGGCGGGGGGCAGAAAGGAAGAGGATGACCATGATGATGATGATGATGATGATGATGATGATGATGATGATGATGATGATGATGATGATGATGATGATGATGATGATGATGATGATATGATGATGATATGATGATGATGATGATGATGATGATGATGATGATGATGATGATGATGATGATGATGATGATGATGATGCTGATGCTGATGCTGATGATGCTGATGCTGATGCTGATGCTGCTGATGCTGATGCTGATGCTGATGCTGATGCTGCTGATGATGATGATGATGATGATGATGATGCTGATGCTGATGCTGATGCTGATGCTGATGCTGATGTTAATGATGCTGATGCTGATGCTGATGCTGATGATGATGAGGAGGAGGAGGAGGATGGTGATGATGATGATGATGATGATGATGATGAGGAGGAGGAGGAGGAGGAGGAGGAGGAGGAGTGCAAACCCCTCGAACTGCGAAAGGCGCGACACGCACCGCATGCCTGGCGCGAAGAAGCTGCCGCACGAGACCTCGAAGGAGGTCGCGCAGCGCGTGCTGAAGGAAGGCTGCCACGCCAGCTCTCGCTCGATTCCCCATCCTCCCCTTCGTCCTCCTCCCCTTCCTCTTCTTACCCCCCCCCAGGTCCCGCACCCAGGCTGTCACGAATTTGCGATGTTACTCGGCAAGCCCAGAGGCTCTGCGGAGTGGTTTGGCTCGTGCAAGCGGTTTCCTGATTGTGCTCTGCCCTTAGGGCTGGGCAATGTCCCCCTGCAGGGGGGGCTCTGGGCGAGAGAGGAAAGCTAGCCAAAGAGCACCCCCCCCCCGAATGCTCCCCAAATAGGAGGGCAGCAGTCCCCCCCGAACATGTCTGGGCTATGCTCGAGTCTTCGCCCTGTCGAGGGAGAGGCCCGATTTCGCTCCCGACCCGCGTCCTCGTCGACACCCTTGACAATCCTCCTCCGCCGCCCCTCCCAACCCCCCCCCCGCTTGCTGCTCGCTGCCCGCTGAGGGCCAGAAGGCCCCTCGGCCCCCTCGGCCAGAAGGCCCCGGCCCCTGCTGCTTGCTGCCCGCTGCCCGCTCGGCCCCCTCGGCCCCCTCGGCCCCCCCCGCTTGCTGCTCGCTGCCCGCTGTCGGCCAGAAGGCCTCGGCGTCAGCTCTCGGTGGGGTTGTCGGCGGCAGCTGCGCCGCCTCGGAGTCCCCCCCCTTCTCCTTCTTCTTCGCGGACTGAGCGGGTCGTCTGGCGGGCGGGCCTGGCCCCTTTGGGGCTCCCCTCCTCGCTCTCCGCCCTCTGTTTTTTGTCCTCCTCCTCCTCCTCCTCCTCCTCCTCCTCCTCCTCCTCCTCCTCCTCCTTCCTCCTCCCCCCCCTCCTCCCCCTTCCTCCTCCTCCTCCTCCCTCTCCTCCTCCTCCTCCTCCTCCTCTCCTCCTCCTCCTCCTCCTCCTCCTCCTCCTCCTCCTCCTCCTCTCCTCCTCCTCCTCCTCCTCCTCCTCCTCCTCCTCCTCCCTCCTCCGCACACAGACACAAGGAGTCGTCGATCCCCACGAGAAGATGGGGAACTCTGGGAAGCGGGGGGGAAGACGAAGACCCAGAACATATGGGGACACGTGTGGAGTCATTTTGTTTGCGTGCGTCTATTTGTGTGTCCTTGGGCCCCTCCAGTGTTGCCCGCCCCGAGCCGATCAGCGGGCGGAGGAGGGGCGCGCTCCCGCCCCGAGCCGAGTCCGAGTCCGGATGCCCCGCAGCTTCGTCACTCGCGATGGGCGGCCAGGGCCAGGGCCCCGCCTCCCCCATCCTCCCTCCCTCCCCAATGGTCTCCTCTTCCCTCCTGCTCCCCACCCTCCCTCCTCCCTCCTCCTCCCCTCCTCCTCCTCTCCCTCCTCCTCCTCCTCCTCCTCCTCCTCCCTCTCCTCCTCCTCCTCCTCCTCCTCCTCCTCCTCCTCCTCTCCTCCTCCTCCTCCTCCTCCTCCTCCTCCTCCTCCCTCCTTCCTCCTCCCTCCTCCTGCTCCTCCTCCTCCTCCTCCCTCCTCCCTCCTCCTCCTCACTCCTCCTCCTCCTTCTCCTCCCTCCTCCTACCTCCTCCTCTTCCTCCTCCTCCTCCTCCTCCTCCTCCTCCTCCTTCCTCCCTCCCTCCTCCTCCTCCTCCTCCTCCTCCTCCTCCTCCCTCTCCTCCTCCTCTCCTCCTACCTCCTCTCCTCCTCCTCCTCCTCCTCCTCCTCCTCCTCCTCCTCCCTCCTCCTCCTCCTCCTCCTCTCCTCCTCCTCCTCCTCCTTCTCCTCCTCCTCCTCCTCATCCCCTCCTCCTCCTCCTCCTCTCTCCTCCTCCTCCTCCTCCTCCTCCTCCTCCTCCTCCTCCTCCTCCTCCTCCTCCTCCTCCTCCTCCTCCTCCCTCCTTCTCCTCTGCCTCCTCCTCCATATAAGATGAACGCGGCGCGACCTCAATTAGCGGATTTAAGAGGACATCCTTCTGAAAATGAGCCCGAGTAACCCGGGGAACCCAAGGAACCCGGGGAACCCGGGAAAACCGGGGAACCTCCGAGGAACGGGCAAAATAACAATAGGAGGCACCGGGGGCGGGGAACCCGGCGAACCCAGGGAACTTCCGAGCAATGGGCAACGTAATACTAGTAGGCACCAACTTTTAACCAAATAAGAGCCCTTTACGCAAACCTATTTGGGGAATCGCTCCTCCCTGTCGCACCCCGAGACGTGTCGGTAGAGCGGGCCGAGCGTTTCGCCAGAGTCTTCTTCATCAGCTATGATCGTAAAGCTTACTATTTGCAACAGCTTCACGGATTTGCACGGGCCGATCTCACATGTTGTTCTCGCGGTAGTACCGCGCACATTTGTTCTAAAAGCTTGCAAGAGTTTCACTGATGTAGGGCGGGCCGTTTTCAACATGTGGTTCTCGCCTTACTGCCGCGCACTTTCGCTTTAGAAGTTCGCAATAATTTCACCATGGAGGGTGGTTCCTTTTCAAAATGGGGGTCTCGCCGTGCGCCGCGCGTATTCATTTCAAAAGTTTGCAAGAGATGTGTGGATGGAGGGTGGTTCTTTGTCAAAATGTGGTTATTAATTTAGTGCCGCGCGCATTCGTGTTAAAAGTTGTCAGATGTTCTCTTGGTTGACGTCCCAGGAGTTCTGCTCCGGCGCAATTTAGGACTGTCAGGGCGCAAGAGTAACGCTGCTTCCGATGTCGAAGTCCCAAGAACGGTGCGTTGGCCCGATTTAGGACCGTCAGGACGCAACAGTAGCATCATTCGCGGTGTTGATATTCCAGAATTTGCAGTACGGCACGATTGCTGATTGTCAGACGTTTGTCTTCTAAGCGGGCACTTCCCGCAGTAAAATAAAGTGGTCTGGGCACCTATGAAGAGGGCATTTCGAGGGAGGGTGTATTGCACCATCGTTGATGTTTCTTGGATTTACACTGGCCCTCCTCCTCCACGTTCTCCTCCTCCTTCTCCTCTTCGTCCTCATTTCCGTCCTCCTCTTAGTCCTCCCTCCTCCTCTTCATCCTCATCTTCCTCCCTCCTCCTCTCTCCTCCTCGTTTTCCTCCTCCTCCTCCTCCTCCTCCTCCTCTTCCGCCTCCCTCTCCTCCTCCTCCTCCTCCTCCGTAGCCATTTTGGCTCAAGTTCCCAACGTCGCTCCCGCGTTGGGAGCTTGTGTGCAGCCGAGGGAGCGGCTCGAGGCTCCTGCTTTTCGCCCCACAGGGGGGCACCTGTGAGCTCCTGGAGGAGCAAGCCCTCGTCCTGCAGTGCATGCAATGGCGCAGTGGGGCAAAGGCAATCATGGTTGGCGCAATTCTCGTTCTCGCAGTCGTGGTAATGATTGGCGGGAGCAGAAGCAGTCCTACAGCGTGTGCAGCAAGTGTGGCCACTGGGAATGGGACTGGAGAGGTCACGCTTGGTGCAGTGTATGCAAGTCCGCATATAAAGGATATGAACAACCGCACGGGCTCCCAGGAGGTCTGTCTGAGCATGCTGGCGGGGGGCAAGGTGGTGTTTCGCCCATGCTGGCAGATCAAGCCCGTGCTGCACTTGTTCAATTCCCAGAACTTCAATCTCTTCTGGCTGCCGCACTTCCACCAGAGCCGCTGCCTGCAGTACCTACCAATGTGGAGTTGGAATCGCTCGCGGCGGCCAAACGTACCGAGTTGGCCAAAGAAGTGGAGCAGGCAGCAAAAGAAGAAAGGTTGGCATGGCAAGACCGTAGTGCACGACAAGATGCCTTGGCTAAAGCAAGGGAGAAAGTTGCCCAAGCAGAATCTGCGTACCAGTCAGCCTCCGCTGGTTTGGAGGAGGCACGTAACAAGCTCAACCACGCCAAAGGGAAGCAGAACAACTTCGACGAGGAGGAGTTCAAGGCCCGTACCAAAGCTGCTGCCGAAGCCGCCCGTGCTGCTGGAGTCCATCCACCAGGAGAAGTACCCCAAGATGTGCCCATGGAGCCAGCAGGTGTACCTGTTGGCGGAGGTCATCAAGCTCCTGCAGCAGCGGGCGACACGGACAGTGGCAATCAATCCTCGTATGATCCAGACATTGTACATCGCCTTCATGAACTTTCAGATGATGAACTTCGCAAAGTGGCAGATTCCACCAAGGTCCCCTTCTCTGAGTGGCAGTTACTACGGTCCGCACAAAAGGCGGCCAAGAACATACTTCGTGGAGGTGAAGAGCAAGCTGTTCCTGGCCTGGAGGAAGGGGACCAAGATCTGGACGAGACCGAAAAGGAGATTCGTGAGCTTCGCAAGAGGCCAGCTGAGGAGGTTTCCCCTGAAGATTTGGAGCGGCTGGAGGCCCTCCTTACAAAAAAGTTTGAGACCAAGGCGGACAAACGCCTTAGGGTTTCAGATTATGCGAATAATCTCTTTGTCAGCAGCTTCGCCAAGCTCGCCGCCCCCCAGGCAGTACCACCCCAGCAGCTACTTTAGTAAGGCTGCTGGAAGCCTTGATGTGAAGTTCTGCAACATTTCGAGTTGGTCTGCTTTGGCTAAGGGAGAGGTCTCGAAAGCTATCGGTCAGACTGACATCTTCATGTTCGCAGAACATCACGTTAAGCAAGAGCGTTTGGCTACCGTCAAGAAAGATTGTTCTCAGATGGGTTGGCGCCCACACATCCAAGCAGCACTTCCTAGTCCAGGAGGAGGTACCCATGGGGGAGTTGGAGGAGTAGTTCAGAAAGCTTTCTATTGTAAGAAATATCTTCGGTCGGCTCTTGGAGGAGCCCAGGAATTTGGATCGGGTGAATGTTGGTTCTTCCTTGAGTTGAAGACCCACGGAGTCTCCATGGCTATTGGTGTTATATATCTTATTTCTGATTTGGGGCTCGTTGGTGATAATTTAAAGCGTTTGCAGCAGGTGACCGATTTCCTGCGCATGATTGACACCCCTTTCCTATTGCTTGGGGATTTCAATATGCCTGCTGTTGATCTGCATGAATGCGGATTTTGTGAGCTTGTTAATGGCGTGGTGGTTGAGCCCATGAATGTCGACTTCACATGTGATAAAGGTTTTGGTTCGATGATCGATTATGGAGTAGTTTCCCGATCCCTTCGTCCCTATG